AAAGGCGTGTATTTGTATTTACATGTATCTTTCTCTTTGAATAAAGAGCTTTTTCTTTATGCTGTTTAACAGATGGGGTAAAGGACGATTCCTGTCTTACCTGAAACATGCAAGTTGATCTGTACTTCTCTCTGTCCTTGGTCATTTGGTATCATCCAGCACAAGACATTGGGTTCTCAAAGACTAAAGCACGTTGTGTTGCAGGGCCTAATGAGCCTGCAGCTCTGGCCATAGCGGTTGTTTGGAGGATGAGGACTGGACAGTTGGAAAGTGAACACAAGTGATTGTCTTGACAGAATGTTAGTAGCTGGAAGGGACGTCTGGATATCATCTGGTCCTTCATCTGTCCCCCTTGTGTCTGTGTGTGTCCTGCTGCTCCCCGCCCTGTCCCCAGCTCAAGCAGGGCTGCCTAGAGCTGGTTGCCCATGGACCATGTTCTGAAGTTTTTTGACAGTCTCCAAGGATGGAGACTCTGCAGCCTTCCCGGGCAACCTGTTCCAGTGCTTGGTCACCCTTGCAGTAAGGGAGTATTTCCTGATGTTCAGAGGAAACCTCTGTGTTTCTCTTTGTGGCCACTGCCTCTGGTCCTGTCACTGGGCACTGCAGAAAACTGCCTAGCTCTGTTCTCTTTGTGCCCTTCCTCCAGGTATTTATGTATGTTGATGAGATGCTCCCAAGCCTATCTGTTATCCCTCCAGGAGATATCAGGGTGCTTCAAGTCCCCCATGAGGACTACGCGAAGATGAAGCTCGTAGTCTGCCTGAGTTTAGGTGTAGCTGCTGATAATGCATTGTATGGAACAGGTATATATCCACCTGGTGTTCTGTCAATTGTATCTCTTCCAATAGAGGGTGGTAAGAATGAAGATTTAAGGGAGAAGAACTGCTATTTCTTTATTTCCTCCCCAGCTCCTTTACCTGCTGTTTCTTGATGGTTTCTAATTTCCCTTATTTGCTGTATTTTCCCCTATGCAGGAGAGATGAGGAGGACCAAAAGAATTCCATCGCCATCTTCTCATTTTGTATTGCACTTCAAAATCTTTGCGCACCAAACCACTCTTCATCCTGTGAGTACCTTATGATATAATTAATTTGTTTTTTGTTTGTTAGTAAGTCTAGTGCATGACTTAATGTGCCAGTTGTGTCTCCACCAAGAAACCTAGGTAGAGTGTAGGCTCCACTTGCTGAAGGAAGCCTCTCCTGTTCACTTGGCCAGGAATGTTTTGCTTCTTGCCTCATTCCCTAGACATTTGCAGTCCTGTTTTAGCCACTGTTTGGGTAAAGTATGAAATACAGCAGTGTAAAGTTAAGCAGTTTATAGCTGAGCATTATGTGTTTTTTCTATTCTTTTCAAATATGCTTGACTTCAAGAGTTGAATTTCACCAAAAAGATGACTGACTTAATTCCCCTGAACCTTGTTCTCCAAATGATAATGGCGCAGCTTCTGAAGCACAGAGAAGCAATGTCAGCAATCCAGTGGAGGACTCACTGAAGGAAACTGCTTCTAATCCTGGATTCATGCAAAGTAGGAAGTTTGAATAAGGGAAAAGACCTATAGGTGAGTTCAGATTACCCTAAAATACCTTTTGTGGTAGATTACCTTACCCAGAGCTAAAAACCTTGCTCTGCTTCCCATTTTTCTTCAAAGTAACATATCAGCAGAAAGTGTGGGTAAGTGTACACAGGAGGCTTTCAAACAGCTCCAAGTACATTCAACCCGTGGCTCTTTGGTAGTTTCCTGACTAGGAGGAAAGTTCTCTTACTTCCAAAACCAAACTTGAACATGATGGAACTTTTGTGGGGTAATAGTACTCTATGGCCTCAATGCAGTCCAGTTGCTGTTGCTTGTCAGTTTGCTGTTTGCCAGTGCCTGAGATGTTACCTATTTCAGGAGAATTATTATGTCGTACAGCGATCCCTACACTGCGTTATCAAGGCTCTTGTACTACTTTTAAGTTTTGGCACCAACATATGGTGTGTCCTTATGCTCCGTAAGGAATTGAGCAGTGCGTGTAGTACAGTGATGCAATCAAGATAGCAGAGAGTCTTGACAGCAGACCTGGGGCTAAAGCTAGCTGGAATTTATATTCCGATACCATTATTCCTAATTCTACTAGCCACTGACTAGACTTCTGACACTCAAACAAATGTTGTGATTTGCCTTCATGCCTGAAGGAGGAAAAACTAAGGAAAACTTATTCCTTGTTTGAAAAAAAAAAAAACAACAAAGCCACATGGAAGTTCTCTCGGGCATCATTCAGAAAGGTACCGTATCTGTGTTCGTACATTGCAGCACCTGGGTCCAACAACTTGTGATGCTCCAGAATTCTCCAAGTACAAGTCGTTCATACATCAGGACTAGATTTTTCTAGATGTAGAAAAGCCATTTTGAAGTACCAGTGGTTCTGTGAGGCTGTGAATCCAAAGGAGGTGCCTTAGAAGTAATGCTGTCTTCAGCAGCCTCCCCATTTTGTTAATAAATGTAGTTTACTGCTTTTAATATACAGGTGGGGCAATTGCACAGTGACACTGACAACGTATTTGAACTGGTTTGACCTAAGGACTTTTTCCAGTCAAGGACAGGAATGTACATGGTCACCAACTTGTTCACATCTTAATATGCAAACTGCAGGCAGCACAAGAGCCTGACTGATAATAACACAAAAATGAAGCAATTAGAATTATTTTCCATTTGAATTGCCTGCACCTTCAACTCATTTAATTCTTCCTAAATATCTCTAGATACAGTAAAATTCTTTGTTTGAGGAAAGCATAAATAATCCTGCAGCTGAAACAGATGCAATGCATGCCCAGATGCTTCTGATAGTTGCCAAAAAATGGATCTTCATATAAACTTGAGTCAAATCCAAAAGGTTTAACATTATGGAACTGCAGGTAAGGTGTCTTTTTCCCTTTCAATCAAATGAAATTCAACTAAGGAATTCTCACTTTACCACAGAATAATATGGAAAATGGCCCATTTTTGAGAGATTGCAAAGAAACATTTACTGAATGTTCTTTTAGACCTGTAACAAAATAATGAAGAGTAGAATGACTTCCTACATGTCTTCTTCCCCCATCCACATCCTCCAAGAGAAAACTTCAGTATAATTTACAACAATAAATTGATTTTCAACTTTTTGTTTGAGGGAAACGAAGAGCTTATATGTTTAACAAAATAAAACATAAATATTGAAGTCTTTAATTTGAAAGATTTGCTTCAGCAACTCTTACTTTAAAATGGGAACTGAAATGTCTTTGAAAAAGACAACTTTATGAGAGAGCCACATTTAAAATGTGTTAAGAAATATTAGTTTTATTTAACCAGTTTTCACAGCTGAATATTTATTCTATAAAAACTTTACAGATTGTACAGTTTATATATAGTTCAAACTACTAGAACAAAAAAGTAGGTCCCACAGATGCAAAAATACTGTACCAATCCAAGGTAAAGGCAGATTTACACACTGTACAGCTCTCCACTGGGAAGGGGAGGTGGGTCAGTTCCAAGTAAAAACTTCAAAACTGTACAAAAATAAGGTTTGATTTCTTTTTCATTCTTCATAATACATTCAATAAGATTGCAAGCACAGATACCCAAGTAATAATAGATATCTGCAGTCAGGAATCAATAACCACTCCTGAAAGGAATGCAAAATAGGTCTATTTACACAGGGCACTCTTTTACACCATACTGTATATAGTGTATATTTAAAATAATAAAAAAGCATAGACAAAGAACATTAAACATCTAATATAAGGTAGTTGTTTTTTTTTTTTAAAGGAGTTTTTTTTTGTACTTAATAGTGTGCCAAAAGAATTTTAACTTATTAAATAATATATTCTAAGTGAACCTAAAATTTATGAACATAAAATGCATTTTTGGTGTAATACATCAATTAAACCAGCAAATAGGAAAAAAAAGGAACCAAAAACAAACCCCAAACTGTATATAAAGTAGTATTCTCACCCAGCAACAGAAGCACTTATGTAGTTATTTAAAAATAAAACAAACCAAAACAAACAAAAAAACAAACCCAGAGACACTATTTAAAAACCCACTAAAACTAACTTATAACTTAGGATATTCATACAGAAGATATTCAGTGATTCACTAATACTGCAAAACAAGCTTTTTTTTGTTTGTTTTCTTTTTTTTCTTCTCCCTTCCTTTTCCCTCCCACTTCCCCTCATTCCTCTTCCCCAAGAGACAGTGGTTTCTTCATACTATCTGGGTAAGAATTAAACATATTCCTGCCCCCTTCCTCCCACGCCTCTATACCTCCCCCCAAAAAAAGACAAGAGTGTTTTCTTAGCATTAATCCTGAGCACACTCTCTTTTTGGGGATATACGTGATTTAATCTTAACAGGGTTTAATTCCCCAAATTTTTAGAATGTTCAGTTATTTGAGGTATTTTAACCTTCTTCTGAGACAACGCCTTGGATGGTAGCTGACTCGTTGGGCAGTGAAAGTAAGGGCTGGCTAATACCCGTTTCGACTCTGTACTCCAATGAGAAAGAAAAGCATTATTCCAGACTTCCCTGCCACAGAAAATTATGCAACACCACTCACTTTTTAATCCGTTCTCTATTTGATACAGTACTAGCCAAAGATAACAAAAACTAGAGCCTTTAAAGAGATGTTTGGTAGTGCACTCTATCATTTTTTTAGCTTGTGTGTGTGTGTCTACATACACACACTCACACACATATTACATTTTTTATATATATATTTATATATAAAAACCAGACATATACACACACACACGTGTATGTCTGTGCATATATATCTATATGTAACAATCAGGGAGAAAGGAGTTTTGTTCAAATTTAAGTGATACAGTACTTATAACCCCCCTGACAATAAAAGGGGAAGGGGGTGTCCACTCCTGTTCCCAAGCTGAGCAAGGGGTGAGTTTATATAGTTTTTTAAAAGGGCTTTTTTTTTTTTTTGCCCTCATGTCCAAGAAATACAATTCCAGTGTCAATGGGTATCTCATCAGAACTCATCAATTTTCTTCTGCAGATATTTTAACATTGAGTCCATCCCTTGTGCTGAGCCCCAGATTTTCTTCAAAACTTCACACTCCTTTTCATTTGCTTGTTCCAAGTCCACCTTCATGATATTACGTACTAAAGCTTTGGATTCTTCAAGTACCTAAGGCCAAAAAAAAAAAAAAAAAGGGAGTTGGGTTAGAGAACTGAGTGACATGCACTACAGGTTCATATGGATGAATCCTGAAGCTCATTATGAACTTAAGCTTATCAAGTCAAGGACATACCATGGCCCTAAGAAACATCTCTGCTCTAATAACCAGGCAGACCTTGACTCTCTTGAGCATTTAAAATAGACTGAGAAGTCGCATTTGCTTGTCTGTTTAGAAAACACTTAATCTGTTTCAAAATCCAAACTTCCTAATTCCCAGAACAGTTAACTCCTACTGCATCACTCTCTTTTGTAAGAAAGCATCAAATATTGGTAGTTCTAGCTGTCTCGTGCGACTGCCAGTAGCGCACACAACCACAAACGCACCAAGTGTTACTCGTAAAACTCCAAGTTCAACATAACATCAAAAGACTGCCTTTGTTTCCTTGGTAATTTAAATTACAACTCAAGACATTAAATTACAATCAAGATAATTCAAGATTTCTGTGTTTCTGCGCAGTTCTTTGGGCAACTGTTTACACTGTTAATTAGAATAAGTTGGACTTATGCAACTATGTTAAAACCAAAATATATTGTAAAGAGTCCAATGCTGTTTTAATGTTCTTAACCACAATGTTTTATGGCTTATGATAAAGGAGGAGTCAGATGCAAACTTAAAAAAAAAATAAATAAAAATCCTCAAAGCCCCAGAAACAAAAAAAGATACAGAAGAATGTGTTAAAAGACATTACTAAAATACAGCCCTTGTTTCATGAAAATGGTCTTTTTTTAGAAGGACATAATGATGTGGGCTAATAATACTTTGATTAATTCTTCTTAATCTAATCATAAAAATATGTTGTAAGAAAAATAAAGGAAACTTACAACTGAATTACATGTGACAAGTTCCTTAATTCGAACCATTACTTCTTGTGTGAATGTTCCCGGCCAAAACACTTGCGAGACGAGTCCTTTGGCACAAGCTTCCTGCGCAGTCAACTTCCTTCCACTGAACAACATTTCATTGGCCTGAAGGGATAAAAAGTTACTTCTGGTATGAAATGTAATGAGACAAAACTCATTAAAGGAAAAAATGTTCAAAACAAATAAGGAAAATGCCTGCGCTATTTGAAATAGTTTTATTGCAGCTCTTCCAACATTTGATTATTAACAAAAAAGACTTGCCTAGAGATAGCTGGTCCGGGTCATTGGCTATGCTACATCCATAGGTATAAAAATATGGATGTCTATGATTACAGGTTAGATGTGAAAACACCTTCTGCCATTTCCCAGTCACAAGTGTTCCTTAGCTCTAGATTTCTTCCACTATTGCTGACTTGATTAACTGTCTATGTGGCAATAGGTTATAAGGCCTGACAGAGCTGTAAAACAGCAAGGAAGACATCAGCTTGCCCTTTGCGATACTGTTAGTTGCAGCAAAATCTTCGCTAAAAATCTACGTTATCTGTAAATTATGAAGATAATCCAGTTTTGGTAGCAGACCTCCTGGGAACTGCCAGTCTTGGTCGAAAAGCACAACTAAAATGTTTTTTTAGTACTGAAAAGTGTTTGAAATCTAAATATATGGTTAATTTTCAGCACATCTCAAAAGTCTTCAGCAGTATAGTATTTCATTTATGATGCAACACTTAAAATAGCTAGATAACTCGGAGTTTGACCTCCCAAACCCACTGAAGTGAACAGGATATATTCCGATTTCTGATGGGATTAATAGAAAATAAACATTCCCATTTTATTCAGAAGTTCAATATTGAACGGATAAATCCTTTCAAAAGCTGATTTAGCAGTCTTATTTAAAACCCCCAACCCACTCTTTAAAAGATCTCGTACATAATTTAAAAATATGAATTAATGAAGGTACAGACCAGAGTACTGCAGTCTATGCAATAAGGCGATCTCTAGTTCCGTAAATATTTCGGATTTGTAATTATCATACACTTCACTATTTATCAGCTTCCCCATTAAAACTTCATCCTCCAACTGTTTACGATTATGCTTTAACTCTACCTTTACTGGAGTTTCTTGCATAGCTAAACTTTTTGTTTGCAGTGCCACTGGCACAGAAACAGCCAGTGAATATTAAAAAGTCAGAGTACTTGTTAACCTCAAAAATTCCCCATTTTACTGTTTCTTAGTGACTAATCTACAGTGAAAATACGACAAAGGCACCACCGAACTCTTGGAACGTGGGAATTAAGGCTGTTACAAAATTTAAACAGGAACTCAAACCTGACAGGTGTAGCATTTCTGAGGACAAAGTTCTGAGTTTTTAAATGTTTTCTAATGCTGGAAATTTTGGCACTTATTGCAGTAACTTTCAGTTAAGGATCTAATTACTGTAGGTAGCGTTCCTAGTGTTGCCATTTTACACGTGAAGAAATTTGAAAACTCAGAGGTGTATTAATTGTCCCTTTGTAATGAAATACAAAGTCTGGGTTCTACTGGCAGTTTGGTTGCTGACTCCCAGTCCATTAGAGGCATGGAAAAGAGAGATGTTTCCTAGGATCTTTTACATAAAATTTATCATCAGCACATCTCTCATAAGTTAATATGGAAAGTTGTGATTCACATTTATTAGTTTAAAATAACCAACCATCCACCAACTCAAACTAAAGGTACAAATTAGATACCCCTATAGTTCTACCTTTTGTGAAAGCAATATCAAATATACAAGGTTCATTAACTATCACGACTATACATTCTAATTTTGTAGATTATACGTGAATGATGCTAACCTGAAACACTAGCCAAAAATCAGTGATATATACAAGTTTGACTAAAAACAGGAATAATTTTCCTAAGGAGCTATGGAAAAAAAAATATTATTCCAAAATAATTAAAAAAAAAGATACTTAACTTTGATATCAAAGATCAAAACATGAAGTCAGTCTAGCTGGGAAAGTCAGGAATTTAAGTCAGTCAGTTGGTCGGGTCTACATATTCTTCGTGTGTATCTTTGATTATGGGAATCAAAACAAATGCTAGAAAACCTCAGCTTTTTCTCTAAAACTCAGTAGTAACTGCTGAGTTCTGAACGTGAAAAACCCCAAACAATAACGGTGCAGAGAAAACCTCGCTTGAAATGAGCTCTCCCATTAGTGTTGTCAGGTTCGAAGGGGAACGTTTTGCTCTGGCACCTTCACTTTTGATCTGTGCACAACATCTGCTGGAGACCCACTGCTAAACGAGTTTTGATCATGTCATCACGCCCTGTATCTGCTGTGAGCTATGATACAGTCATAGAAATGAAGATGATAAAAAGATTTCATTAATACCAGATTCTTAGTAACGGCTCATTTTCAGCTTGCTCTGTCTTTCTCCTCCACAGAGGAACTTCACCTTGGCTCTCCTGCACTATGACCAGAAGGCAGCTGGTGTCTGTGACACCCGAGAACCTGCCTGTGATGCGGACCACAGGCACTACGGAACACGTGTCCCTCGTGACTGACAGAAAAGCGTACGGAGCACTGCCGAGCGTGCTGGAGGCTGACAGGGAAACCCAGCGTGTGCAGCTCGACCGTGTGGCCCCTATGCTTGATATCCAGGACCAGAAAACTCCATGGCAGGCACACAAGAACATATCTTCCCAAACAGACATCGCCTTAATCTCTATTACAGATTATTTTCAAAACTCAAAATCCTTCTAAAATTCTTGGTATTGCCAATAGAGTTTCAAATCCTAAGGACTGTGCTTCAGATTTCCTCTAATAATGAACTCAGTTGAACATGTTCTGTGAAAAAAAAAAAAACAAACACCAAAACACCCTCCATGACAGACCTGCTCACCAGCCAAGACTGACCCATTAGGGAAGATATTTCAAACAATCTTGTGATTGAAGATTTTTACCTAAAAAGAACGCACTGAATCTGACTTACAAGAGTTGAGAGTGGGACTAATATTGCTGAATTAATACACTTGTAGCAAATTTTATGATGCGTACAGAGGCCTCAATTCTTTCTTTTGTATGGTATTATATTTTTCCCCCCTGAATGTTTCTCATCTCACTCATACCCTCTCTTCTTTCTGCTGACTTCTCTCTCGCTATTATAGACAGCAAGCGTGCTACTTCATCAAAATCTTCAGCATGTATTCTGAATAAATCTGCTGATTAAAGTCCAAGCTTGTCCCATGCAGCATTGACATTGCTACACTGCAGTGGGTCGAGGATAGCATGAAAACAATGGACTTTTTTTTTCCCTTTTGCACTGAATATTATGGAGTTGTTATCACTGGAAGCTTTCACTTGAAATCTTTGTATTTAAAAATGTGAGCATTCACAAACACACATGGAAGAGTATACTAGCGGAAGAGCTTCTTGTGTTTTTTGTACAACTTCTAAAGAAAGGAAAAGTAACAATCACAAGTCTCTAAAGGAGGGGGATGGATGGAATGGATGGATGAATGGATGGATGGCCAAATAAAAAGGGAAAGGAACAATCAGTAGTTTGAAACATGCTAAGATATTAAAAATACTCTTATAATTGTTAATCTATTTCAGTTACCTTTTCTGTTCTCTTCTAATAACTAAATCCAGACATCACACAATTAGTCATTAGATCTGTTCAAACTGATGCTTTTAAAATAGCAAAATCTGTATTTTTTAAAATCAACAAATACCTACAGGGAAAAATTGGCTTTTATAATAAACAGTAATTTAGGAAAAATGAGTGTAGCTACAAGCACTGGTTTCATACTGTTACTATTCAACTTCAAATTGGAACAGGACGTAGGTCTAAGTTTTCGAAGAACACAGCATAAAAAATAGTAAGCAACATGAAACTAATGCAGGTAAGAGATTTTTAAATAGCTTTTTGTTACATTTGATTTTTTCACCTAACTGGAAAGCAAGAAAAGGGATACTAAGTAACATGTGGCTTATGTTTTCAGCAACAACTCAAAGCATTACTTTTTTTTTTTTTTTTTCCCTCTCTCCAATCCAGCAATACTGCAAATAGAGCGCAAGACTGAAGAAAGACACATCCTTCATAAAGGTCATTTGGACCAAGCATTTCTTGCGCAACACACTGGTGTTAAACACCAGTGGAGGTCTACAAAGCAAAGAAGTTCGACATGACTTCTCGAGAACGAGTGCATGAAAGCTGAATTACTTCTGGTGCGTACCAGCAGGAGTGCTCATCGCTAGTGACACAGTGCTCTGCTGTGCAATGCCACCGGGTGAAGACCAGCCCATTCTCTGCCACGCTCTGATGCTGTGCTGAACACCAGACACTGGTGGCTGGTCCTCACCAGGCAGCAGCAGGGACGGTGTGTCCTGGGATGCAGGACATGACCCTTCTGCCACCGTCAGGGTTAAGGGTGCCCGTGACATGGGATTAGGTCCCGTGCCTGCTTTCTGTTTCACACACGCAGGTGAAGACTAGGTCGTCACAGCATGGAGCAGAGAAGCAATAAATACTAGTTTCTCACGAAAGGCTTTCATGAGAGAAAGAAAAAAATAATAATAAAAAAAAAGACAACACAGCAAAGGTAAAAAAATCTTGAAATCACTCTGGATAAATTATCACAACTGCATTGTGAAGCTATCAGCCCCTACACCCTGCAAGCTACTTACAGAAGCCAGGCCCATTATCCGGGGGAATGTAAGGGATGAACATCCATCTGGACTTTGTCCAAAAGTAGTGTATGGTGTCTGAAACCAAGCCTTCTCGTTAGCCCAGACCACGTCACACAGAGGCAGTATAGATGCTCCAAGTCCAATGGCTGGGCCATTTACTGCTACAATGATAGGCTTCTTAAACTGAATAAAAGTATTCACAAAATTCCTGAAGAGAAACAGAAACATGCACTCACTACATATATAGAGAGTAAAACATACCAGGCCTTGAAAACTCAGTAATAATTCATGTCCACAGTAACATCACTTTGAAAACCAACTTGATAACCTTCCACGATGAGGTGGTTAGCTTGGTGGATGAGGGGAGAGCGGCGGATATTGTCTACTTAAACTTCAGAGTGAGTCTTCCAGCACTGTGTCGTGTAAGACTCACAGACAAGCTGTTAATGTATGAGCTGGATGAGCAGATAGTGAGGTGGACTGACAAATGTTTGAATGGCTGGCCCAGTCGGTGATGATCAGTGGCACAAAGTCTAGTCAGAGGCCAGTTAATTAGTGTCGCACCCCAGTCCGGATGATGGGGCAGTGTCCCCTCAGGAAGTTTGCTGATGATACAAAACTCAGCTGATACGCCAGAGGGCCGTGCTGCCATCCAGAGGGCCCTCGACAGACTGGAGAAATAGACTGACAGGAACCTCATGAAGTTCAACAAGGGGAAGTGCAAAAGTGCTGTACCTGGGGAAGAACCACTCCAGGCACCAATATGTGCTGGAAGCCAACTAGCTGGAAAGCAGATTGAGAGAAATGGCCCTAGGAGTCCTGGTGGACACCAAGTTGAACTTGAGCCAGCAACATGCTCTTGTGGCAAAGAAAGTTAATGGTATCTTGGGCTGTGTTAGGAGGAGTGTTGCCAGCAGGTTGTGGAGGTGATCTTTCCCCTCTGCTCAGCACTGGTGTCCAGTTATGGGCTCCCCAGTAAAAGAGAGATGTGGAGCTACTGTAGATGGTCTAGCAAAGGGCCACCAAGATGACTAAGAGATTGGAGCATCTCCCATATAAAGAAAGGCTGAGAGAGCTGGGACTATTCAGCCTAGAGAAGAGAAGGCTCAAGTGGGATCTCATGAATGTGTATAAATACCTGAAGGGAGGAGCATGGACCCAGGCTCTTTTCAGTGGTGTCCAATGACAAGACCGGAGGCAGTGGGCGCAAACTGAAACACTGGAGATTCCCTCTGAACATCAGGAAACATTTTCTTACTGGCAGGGTGACTGAACAGGCAGCCAGCAAGGTTGTGGACTCTCCATCCTTGGAGATATTAAAAGCCTTGCCTGGACATAGTCCTGGGCAACCTCCTTTAGGTGACCGTGCTTGAGGAGGGGCAGGTTGAACAAGATGCCCTCCAAAGGTCCCTTCCAGCTTCAACCATTCTGTGATTCTGTGAAAGCCTAGCATTTCTCCCAGCCCAACAGAGCGCAATAATTGGGCAGATGCAGATTTAGCACCCCTCCTACAAGCACCCACTGGTCCTTGTGGCATATTCACATGCCTCACAGCCCTCTCAGAGGAAGCTGTAGTCACACCTCACCTCTGGGCACCAAAACCATGCTTACAGCCCTGCTTGGTCTTCACTGGGTTTGTGTATGACACTGGTATAAGGTACCTATCCACCTACATTTTTAAGTGAAGGCATATAGGTATTAGTGAAGATGGGCAAAGCATTAATGAGTTTCTTTAAAGAGGATTTCTGGACTTCTGGGAGACATCTGCTCTTAATAAACAAACCTGCCTTTTAAAGTGATGAACAAGCCATAAATATTAGGGCTCCGGTATCACATATCACACACCTGTAAACTTCCTCTCCTCACCTCCCTCTCTGGGTTGGTCATGATGCTGTGGGTGCTGTGCTAGTAAGTTACAAACGTATGTTCTCATCCTCATTATCAACACAAATGACAATTCATCCCAGTACCCACACAGCGTGGATGCTTACGTGCTTCTCTGTTCTCAAACATTAAGTGCCTTCAAGAGCTTCTTAGGAAAAAGTCAGTGCGTACACATGCATTAGAACAAGTAGAGACTTCTACAACCTCAAAGTGGAGGTGCAGACGTTCCTCAGTTAACAGCCACCTCATATAATAAAGAAATTGTCCATATTTACTTCAACTACATGACAAATTCTGATTAGAATACAATGCACAACATCCAGCTGTCAGCACCTGTAAAGCACTCCTTTGCTCTGACAGATGATTTTTCATTTCAGTATTAGATAATGAAATACAAGATTTGTCAAAATTTTTAAAAAGGGAGATTTAGTGGTAATTTTGAAGTTTGCTCTTTATCTGTGTTATGTGTTTTTGTGTTTCTGTGAAACAGAACATTTTTACTATATTGCATCCATCACTAGAAGTTATCATGCTGCTTCTTAACTCATTCTACTGAGCAGAAATAGATGAATGCAAAAAAATTTCTACTGGAACCATCTTATGAAAGCCATCATACAAACATCCCATCCAGAGACTTAAGATAATTTTAATCATGTCTCCAAGATAAGAAGGACATGAAGCTGCTGGAACGAGTCCAGAGGAGGCCACGAAGATGATCAGAGGGCTGGAGCACCTCTGCTATGAAGACAGGCTGAGAGAGTTGGGGCTGTTCAGCCTGGAGAAGAGAAGGCTCCAGGGAGATCTTATTGCAGCCTTCCAGTACTTAAAGGGGGCCTACAGGAAAGCTGGAGAGGGACTTTTTCCAAGGGCATGTAGTGATAGGACAAGGGGCAATGGATTTAAACTGAAAGAGGGGAGAGTTAGATTAGATATAAGGAAGAAATTCTTCACTCTGAGGGTGATGAAGCACTGGCACAGGTTGCCCAGAGAAGTTGTGGCTGCCCCATCCCTGGAAGTGTTCAAGGCCAAGTTGGATGAGGCTTTGAGCAACCTGGTGTAGTGGAGGGTTTCCCTGCTCATGGCAGGGGGGTTGGAACCAGACTGTCATGAGGATGGAGCCAGGCTCTTCTCAGTGGCATCCAATAATAGGACAAGGGGAAATGGATATAAGCTGGAACACAGGAGGTTCCACTTAAACATGAGGAAGAACTTCTTCCCAGTAAGGGTAACAGAACACACTGGAACAGGCTGCCCAGAGAGGTTGCGGAGTCTCCTTCTCTGGAGATGTTCCAAACCCGCCTGGACGCGTTCTTCTGTGATGTGATCTAGGTGGTCCTGCTCCAGCAGGGGGATTGGACTAGATGATCCTTTGAGGTCCCTTCCAATCCCTAACATTCTGTGATTCTGTGATCTTTAAGGTCCCTTCCAACCCTAACCATTCTATGATTCATATGATTGTATGAATATTCCAGACAGGACCATCTCTAGCATATGGTGCATATAACCATATAGCCATTCTATGATTCTATATATATAAAATACGTACATTGCGGGGGGCGGGAGTTCATAGGCGTTTTAACTTACCTTTATCCATTTAATTAACAACGAATAATAGATGAGAAATCAGGCTTCTGGAAGGGCCTGAACTGAACTAATGGCAGAAGCTCAGTGTTAAGAGCCTCTGTCCCCTGGCCACATCTGAAGTCACTGCATGAGCAACTTTTACATGGAATGATCAAAATTTTTCCTTTGTAAAAAACAAAACTATTATTCATCTCCATGATCCAACTGTGCCTCCAATGAAAGAGGCTTCACATGTTACAAGTTCTTTTTTAGGGACGTGAATATTGATAACAACAACAGAACACAGGCCTCTGAAGGAGCATAGATAATCTGGAAGCATACGGCAGCTAATCCAAGAGCCCAAGCCCTCAAAACCAGTGTTCAAATGGTAAGCTACTTGTTCGTACTGTTAAAATATGTCTCTCTAAGATCCATACTTTTTTCCATACATATTCTTCTAGTTTGTAGTAGTTCAGCTCATTTTGTTTAAACGTTAGTGTTGGTACCTAGCCTTGGGATGATGTTCGCTAGTGTTAATCTGCTCCTCTAAAACATCCATCATTTCACTGCTCTGAATGTGCTATACTGTTGCTCATTCAATGCGCATCTTGTATTTGTGTGCGTTAAATTTCTTTTCCTGAAACCCTATGACTGCTTAAAGTCTTTTAAAATTGGTTTCAACCGGAGCAGTATTACCACATTACCAGTTTTCACAGTTAAATTTTAGTAGTGAAATAGTGCTGCACACTGTATCACGTAACAGGTGAACGCCTGACACCTTGAATTAGAGGATTTTGATATAAAACAGATAAAACAAGCCAGACCACATATTGAACAACACTCACTCAGATGACTGAAGATAATCTTACTTACCTAATAGCTTCTGCCATCTTAGTGCTTTCCTTTTTTCTATCGTCTGTTAAACGTCGTATAAAATAAATAAAATCAAGCCCACAGCAGAAAATGCTACCAACTGCACTGAACAACACGAGTTTACTGTCGTCTGCCGCCGCTGTGTTCAGTGCACTCTGGACTTCCTTCATTACCTGAAAAATCAAAAATGCATTAGAATCTTTTTGTTACATCATTAAAAAGTAGCGTGATGTTCTCCTCCCCTCCTCCCTCCAAGAGATCTTCAACATCTTTAATTTTTCTCTCAACCATCATATTAGAAAAGTTTACTTTTTTCATTAGCCAAAATTAAGAAATTTTTAAAAAAGGATTAGAGGCTTTGCATTAAAAAAAAAAGTTAATTAGACCAATGTAATGAAATCATTAAGAAAAGACCTATTAGATATTATCTGTAACGAAAGCACTCATTCAGCATTTCTGTAATTTGGACAGCAGATGGCATATGCAACCAGTCTGGGCAAAAAAAACCTTAATTCCGGCTAAAGCTTGTTTCAAGTAGCACTTGGTAAATCGCCACGTCTTATAAAAGACAGTACATCTACATGTTCAGATAACAGTTCTTGAAGTCAATTGTACGTGTAGCATCTTGCAAGCAAGAACCTGAGTCTTGTTTTATGCAAGTTTGTGCCTGAATAACAGACATAAACGAGGCAAGGACTTAGATTTCCTTCCCCCAACGCCCTTCCCCTCCCCCCAAAATCAGAATTGTGCCGACCTCTGGATTTAGTGAATTATTTTCCGATGATTTTGTTGACAGCAAAATGTGTGTGAATCCATCTTGTTTCCTGACAACAATGTCTCTGTACCGGTACGCGCTCTCCGTCTGTCTCACGCTGAAACGTAGCCTTTTATCAAAAGGTTGATCCCTCCTGTCGTCAATAAACCTCCGCTTGTTGGCTGGCACTCCTGTTACAGACGTCTGTATGTTGGTTGTACCATTGGCTGCTAATGCTTCCATAAAGGTGGATGTACCTGGAAACGGTTTGTTTAAATAACAATGTTCGATTAATTGCATTTTATTGGCTTGGCAGTTTCAAAATCCCTGTTGGCATGAAGACACGCTAGTCATGTCAAGAACGCACTGAATATGAAACTCAGTCTCCTAGAAGTTACTGAAATTTTACAGAAACAGACCCTGTGTCACAGAGCAAAGTTAAAGTGATAAAGGGATCCAACAAATTCATTTTACAGTTGTGAGAAAACACATTTTAAACAAGCCAAACAGACCAATCATCGTATAATTATTTTCAGAAGGGAAAGGTTTATTTAACATTCCTAATACTGATCCACTTCAGCAGGTTAATGCTCTGCTTGCTCACTTTCCAACATCTTTAAGTTGTCTAACAGCATCAAGATTGCAAAGAGAAAGCACAAGTCTTTTGTTTCAAGTGCCACGAGAAGTTAATATACGGAAGAAAATGACACCTACAATAAGCCAAATAAAGAACTTGATTGACAACATCATATAAAGCATAAAAGTCTTTAAAGGAAAATGGAAATGAAGAAATACATACTTCTGTGAGAGGGAAACAAGACCCATGCAGTGATGGATATTTTGATGGATTCATAGACAATGAAATATTTCTCAAGTCTAAACAATTTTTGCTATTAGAATCGGCAAATAGAAGATTATGTCCTTCTGGTCTTTTCCCCAGTCACTTAAATAGCAGAATTTGAAGGCATGCAAGTGAGCAGACCATTCCTCACGACACAGAGGGGACCAGTTTTCCTGTACTCAACATTAGAAACATAATACCAAATAATTTCATAACAGGAAATAAATTCTGCATGTTTAATTCTCCATATAAAATCTCTGTAAAATTTGTCAGATTAAAATAACAGAGGTATGTGGGGCGGAGGGGACAGTAGGGTTAAAAATGTTGGGAAAATGTGTTACAGGCCAAGATAGGAAAGTTTTGAAAGCCTTTTTCTGAAAACTGAAGTCTGAGTCTTTGCTAAATGTACTGGAAACCCACAAACCTTATCTCACAAACAGGTACTTCAGAACATCACGCTTATGACGTCTTAAAAAGTACAGTTAAACCGTGTATAAATAAGTTGTTAATTAAATGCCATTAATGGATCTTGCTTAATTCATCATTATCTTCCTGAAGAAGTTGTATTTTTACATTCTAATAATATGCAATGCTATGGGGTTTTTTGTTGTTGTTGTTTTTTTGTTTTTTTTTTTTCCACACAAGATACTTCAAACACTTACGAGTCCAGTGAAGACATTAAACAGGCTCACCTAAATAACTGGAATATCCTATATATCTCTACATTTTACCTCTATTTGAACATTGCTTACTTTGACCTATATGAAGTATGAAAGAGGTATTAAGAGCAAGACTAATGAAATTAAAATTTAGAACATTATACATTTTTCTATTTGTATTGCAGAAACTGCCTTCGGATAATAAATTAAGTCTTTGTATCAAATGTTTTTATTAAAATAAATTTTTATTAGAAATCTGATTATTATATGATTAATTAGACAAGTTGTCTGTCAAAGGAGCTATACAATAATAAGGTTTTATTTTACTTTTTAAAGTCTTTCTTGTTGTATTAGCGATTTAATTGTCTTACCATGTCACTTTTTGTGAAGTTTAAACAACTGAAAAATCTGGAGTTGTCTTTAAGTGTAGAGTAAGAAACTGAATTCAGTTTGTGATCAGTCTCAGAGAAAACAGAGGTGAGGAAAATGAAATGAAAAATTAATGTTTTGTTTTGTCATAGAAGTTTCACACTTATTCCTATTCCACGTTTATTATCAAATTCCTTTTTTTTTTAATTTCAGTAGAATAAATCAAAATTTGATGCATACCAAATACAAAATGAATGAGGGATGCTTTCGATACTTTTCCCTTGTAAACACCATGTTGATTACATCCCTTTAAAAGAATTCCCTTCAAAGGGAATTTGCGGGAACACCACTGTTGCCCCGTATTTCATTAGGAACACAAGATGAAATGGTATCACTGACCGCAATGGTTTGGTTTTCCATAGGAAATTAAAACAACAGAAATCACCTCTTATTTCTAAACCCTAATGTAAGATTTTATGGATTCTGTCCTAGCCATAGTGAAAAAGGTGGAGAACCAGGAAAGCACAATAGACTAGATGAAGCCAAAAGAAGTCAGGAAACTTGTGTAAGAGCTTTGAGTAGATCTTTTCCCACGACTCATACTTCCACAGACATACTCAAATACCAGAAAATTGCTTTTGAGATGTAAGAGGCAATGATTACACACTTTGAGAGACAAAACTTTTGGCAAGACCCACCAAGATGTAAACACCACACACCACTTTTCCTGCTTATTGAATTGGCAAGAGACCTTCTGAGATTTTATATAAACTCTGTCTGCACTTGTCAAAAATTGCAGTTTCAAACCACAAACAAGGGACAGCTGCAGTTCAGTGGAAGAAGACTCCTACATCCCATCTTGTAAACACACTCTTAGGATACTTAGACTGGAATCAAAAACCTGTCTGCTTTAGAGACCGCGCTTCTTCACACGGAGATTTGGCCAGTTGGTATGGATTAGAAAATGGCATGGACAGAGTTAAAATTTGCTCATTAGTGTTTGTCATTATCACTGTAAGCTTGTGACCTTCCACATCTTAAAGTGTAGAGGGCTTTCTTTTGGCATTTGGACATCAAAAACGAAGAGACACCACAGATGTAACGCAGTACTTCATGCTATAGATAAACAGGCAAAGGTGGCATCACGGGACAGTCTTGGACACGTGTTGCAGCAAACGAGGATGAAAAGGAAAAAAAAGGTGCCAGACAGAGGTAACTGTATTGCCATAGATTTCCTCACATGAAAATTTTGCATTGAGGTTACTTATTTTCAGGTTAATTACAACTATATTTTACAATTTTAAAACATAGATTCCAGAACAAACCAAAAGCAGTTCTGCATTTGAATACGTAAACGGAGATAGCGTATCAAAAATATAAAAAAAACACCATAGCCCTCTCCTTTCAAACTGAGCCTTCGGAAAAAGGTAAGGCTTTGCAAAAAAAAAAAAAAAAAAAAACAATTTACCCTATTACCCTAGATATCGTCTACTAATGCAGAACTATGTTTAGGAGGTAAACCAACAGCTCTTACAGTTACAAAAAAAACCAAACTTCCAAGTGTTAATTAATGTAATGTGATCTTCTTGAAGGTGAAGACATACTACTGGGAAAAGCTTCACTGTACAGATGCAAAATGAAATTAAGAGGACTACCTGGTTTTGCAGCTGCTGATCAAAACCTGATAACAGTCACCATTTTCATGCAGCTGCTCTTAGAGAAAAAAAAAGAGCTATGGGCAACAGATAAGAAAGGAATCTGTCTTATTCAGAAGGAAGAAAGATGCATATATAGAAGTTGGAAAAGAGGCAAAACAGCACAGGTATCGTCATGCGTTCCACTGGCAGAGGCAGAAAAAAAGCCATCTCTCCAAAATACAAGGGGGATACCAATTAAAATGCTCAATGTCAGGCATCTAGATAAACTGAGCTAAAACCAAAACAAATAACTCACTAGTTCACAACAATCCAAAAGTTGCAATCCCGAACTCCTCTCTAAGCTATTTGTGCCTCCCTCTTACAGTCTCCCAAGTTCTTGAGAAGTTCAGTTTAGCTTACATAGCCAGCCTCGAGCACAAACCCTCCCCTCTCTGCAGCAATACTGGGGACACATCCAAACGGGTGTTCCAACAACAGCCAAGCCTCTTTCACACGTGTCTTTTTGAGTCCACGTGCACTAGTGCCCGTACTCCGAATCCAAAGGTTTGTCTGGCACAGGACGCTGTCTCTGACAGGCTTCGCACAGACGTCTCAGAACGAGCATTAGAAGATGGCAGGCATGAACGATGCTGTCTGAGTCTATTCCCCAACTCCAGCCACCAGAAATTTAGTGATTCTTAAAATTTGCATGCCCAGAACCACAGGCTGCACCCAAACCCATGTAGTTAAATCCTTATTCCCCATGGGATTGTCCAATTTACTTTTGGAACCACTACGATTTTGTCTTTCAAAGTATCTTTGGGCAGTAAGTTCTGCAACACACATCTCTGCTTTCTTCATCGCTTCTCCAGATGGATTAGTCCCAATCTTATTTACCCTTTTCTTCTTCCACAAGCCCGTCCAAACCTGTCATTCCTCTCCAAGCCTCTTGCTTTTCTACTAAACTTCGGAACAGGGTCTAAAACGGCATACAATATTCAAGATGGGGATTTCTACTGTGGCATACATATTCAAGCCTTCTCTTCTGCCCTCTACTCCTTTTCCATAATAATTTCTAACAATTTATATGTTGTCTTTTTAAAAACAAACAAACAAACAAAAAAACCCACTTGTACCAAGCAGGCGTTTACGGAAAACTACCCAAAACAAACCCAATGCCCTTTCAGTGAGCAGTAATGCAGTCAGGAACAGGTCATTGTCCAGGCAGGGTTTATGTTTTGCTGTAGGCAGTTTTGCACAGAAGTCTGGTTTGTGCCCTCCTCATCACGTGGCCTTCATCTGCACGGCAAGTAGCCTCTCCTTCGAATGACGAAATCACTCGGTATTTTCAGATGTCTGCAGTGCTCTCAAGGAGCCTCAGGGAGCCTCGTGCCTTCCCTGCACCCTCATGCACCCACCTCATCCTCTCCTGCCCTAAGTGACAAAGCGGGCAATAAGCAGCGTCCCACTTGAATAAGCAAATGAACAAACACCAGCACCAACAATTTCCCAATGTGTTAACTGCAAAAGTAACACTGTAATTGTAACTGAGAGGGAAAAATACCATCTGCAAATGACACATGCCCTTGGTAATATTTCTCCACTAAATTAAAAAGTTTTTCTATTCTACACCAGTTTTCATCTTGGTTGCCATGTCACATTTAGAATAATCTGGTTTATAGTAATCATTTTTTTCCTTTTTCTAGATAGTTTTCTCCATTTCTTTGATTACTTACAGCATCA